CTTCTTCAAGCTGCCATAATCTAGTATGTGTAATTATATATCTAATACTACAAATAAAACCTATAATTATCAATTTCCACGTTTTGTCAGAATGCCTAGTGCAGTTCCGATAATATTGTCGGCAGACCCAAAATCAACTGTGATTCTGAATCGAACGAGAATTGAAATTATATTTATGGCAAATGAAATGAACATAATAAGGGAATATACGTCCTTAAAATATTCCCCGGGTATAATTGCAAGTACGGGGAATATCATCACACACAGCGCCTCGAGAGCTCTGAGTATGCGAAGCTTTACTTCGACATCTCGTATCGACTTGTACCCATACGAGAGCAAGAGCACAACAAAAACGAGGATAAAATATATCACAGCTCCGAAACTCATGTGCATAACGAAAACAGTTCCGTAGTGATTGAGGCCCGGGATTTTTATTTTGCTCGGAATTATGGGTTGCACGTATTTCGTGTGAAAGCCAGTGAGTAAAAACATTACCCAAGAAAGCGTTTTTACCAGAGTACTTTTACCAGAGTAATTTTACCACTTCAATTTCTTGACAAGGAAGTAATTAAATGAGTAAATGAATAACTGAGTTTGATATTATTTACCACAGGGACCATCACATATATAGGCGTTTCCAAGTGCATGCATACATTATAAGCTCTAAATAAATATATAAAAAATATACATATAAATATGTGTGTGTGTGTGTGTTAATATATCTAAAAATGAAAATATATAATACATCTAAAAATATATATATGGTCATTTTTAGATATATTAACACACATTTCATCTTTATCTTTAATTATTGTACTTCGTCGGGAAGTAAATTAAAACGTAACATGGCTAAGTGTTGGTTGTTTTAGATATAAAATAAATTAACCCTTAAAATAGCATACGGAACGATTTCTTTTTATTATATTTGTTTTTTCGATAGAATGAATTGTTAAGTTGATATATCTTGATTATTAACAAAAACAATGAAGAAAAATAATAAAATCGATTATATATGGTATGAAGAAGTTCATTTATTTATTTGTGCATTTAACTTTTTTCTAACTTAATTAAGTTTATTCTCGAAATAAAAATAAGCTCTCGATCCTTGATGAGTTTGTGTTAACAATTAATTAACTAAGAAAATTAATAATCTTGGTGATAAAACTGAGATAAAGTCCTTTAAATCATTTAAATTTGATCCATAATACAATACAATTCAGTCACAATTTTTGTTGTTAATATACATAAATAAAATAAAATCCGATCCTTGAATTATTAATTTTGTTTGATATTTTAATAAATGAAAAATGAAGAAAAAAATATAAATTCGATTATGCTAAAGTTCGTCACTTATTTATTTATATTGTTTAATTTTATTCATTTATTTATTACTATTATATCTATGAGGAGGTTTTATTAATTATACTTTGACATTTAAAAATTGACGTAGACAAATTGTTTAATTAACCTGTTACAACTCAAAAATAATAATATTGCGTACTAATTTTAAGTTCGATATAATTACCAGTGTAAAAGAAATGGATAAGAGATTAGTAAATAGTGAATGGATAACTCAAAAGAAAATTAAAAATGTACGCCAACTAAAATGGGGACTATACTATGCTACACGGGGTGTAATACACCAAGTAAATATTTATCATTCATATAATCACATATCCATATTAATATGTGTAGATCAACGGTGTAAAATACAGCTCGGTGGTGGAGCATAGAAACACCGTTTGACATATGTCTGAAAATTACTAAAAAGTCACCCCTCTAAGTTTAAATAATTATTAAAAAAAAATCAAAAAAAGAAAAAAAAAAAAAAACTCAAGACAGCAAGAAAACATAGTTGACGACGCTAGCCAAAATTTATTTATATATTTTTTTATTTTTTCAATAATTACTTAAACTGGGAGGGGTGGCTTTATTGTAATTTTTAAACTTAAATCAAACGGTGTTAAGATCAAATGTGTGAAAACTAACGGCGATGACCACATTGAGACAATTTTTCAAGTACAATGGGCAAATCGATGCAATTGAGAGTGGAATGGTGTAAAGTGATATCGAGCCAAAGTACGAGGGGACAATAATCGATGCAATTGAAAGTAGAAGGGGGTAAAGTAATATTGAGTCAAAGTACTGGTTTTTTTTAAATCAAAATTAAAACTATTAGCAACCAGTTTAACTAATTAACTAATTTATTGATAATAATTAGTTTGTGCTATAAAAATGTGCTGAAGATATTTTGTACAGTCCGCCCGGATATTTTGAATTTGCTGGAAAAAAAATCAATGGAACAACTTAGTTAGACAACTTAAAATGACAGTAGACAGTTTAGACAACTGATTTGAAGAGTTTACACTAAAAATAGACTGAAAATTAATAGCTTAGTTGAAAATTTTGGACTAAAAATACTAAATAGACATTTTCAATTAAAAATAACCTTTTTTTTCAATGATATTGTGTAGGAATTTAGGCCGTCCGTTGCCGGAAAATGGTAGGAAGAAATGTAATTTTTTTTTAGTGGATCTAATTTTGAGGACATATAAGTTAGGGAAATAATAATGTACTTTCAATCTAAGATGATTAACCAAATAGTTCTGCCATACACAAAATTTCTAACAAATATTAATTAGTTCATAGGGATTTTTATGCAAAAGTCCCCAACCAAGCATGTTTATTATTCTAGGTATAGGGGACATATCTGTTTCACCAATAAGCCCATCCCTTTAATATTTATTATAACTAAAGGAAACATTCATGTATATCCCAATATTACCCTCAATCATTTATACCCAATTCTTAATTGTAATCCAAATTAATCAATTTTGTCCATAAAAGTTCAATTTTGACCACAAAAATTCAATTTTGACTTTTTTTTGGAGTATAATTTAATATGCTCCAATTTCATCCTTAACTTAATTTAATCTCAATTTGACCCCAAATTTCACAAATTATTAAATTTTGACCCAAATTTTTTTTTTTTTTCAAAAAATTTTTTTTTTCAAAAACTTTTTATTTGCCACCGGATTCCGGCGTTGACCGGCGGTCAACGCCGGTCTCCGGCGTTGACTTTTTAAACTTTTTTTTTTTTTTTTTTTTCCGGATTCCGGCGTTGACCGGCGGTCAACGCCGGTCTCCGGCATTGACTTTTTTTTTTTTTTTTTCTTTTTTCTTTTTTTTTTTCTTTTCTTTTCTTCCGGATTTTTTCGCCGGTTTCCGGCGGTCTCTTTCTTTAGTGTTTTTTTAAGTTTTTTTTTTTTTGTTTGGTTTGTTTTGTTTTTCCACGCCCGCCGCTACACGTTGACCGTAATTGTGCTGTCACTGACAGTAATTTAGCGTAATTATACTGTCAATGATAGTTAATTAACGTAATTGTACTGCCGTTGACATTACATTTATGTAATTGTGCTGCCGTTGACAGTAAATTAATGCAATATTATATTTTTTTATTTATTATTATTTTTTTTTATTTTTTTTGATTTGTTGACAAGTCAACGTAATTATATTACTGTCGTTGACAGTAAAATAACTGTAAACACAATAATATTACTGTCAACAACATCAATATTATTATTTTTTTGGGGTTTTGTTTGTTCGAGTTAT